AAGATAGTGTGAAGCAAAATCAATTCATGGTACCCAACAAAGCTTCAACCTCAACGCTTCACCTACAAAGCTTCATCTACAAAGCTTTAATATATATATATATATATATATTTTCAGAAATTCAAAAATTCGAAAAAAAAATTGCCTAGGCCTCCTCTTCTTTGGGCCTAACAACTTTCATAACAAATATATATGAAGAAGGAGTTTTGGGCTACCACTTAGAAAGGAAATGCCTCATTCGTCAACTCCCTCGACCGGAGACTTAGGGGACTCCTACCATATGCTACTACACCTTGATACTCGGAAGTCTCACGACCACTCAGTGACTTGGATTTTTCAAGTCTCCAAACAAGAAGTTTTCCTCACTCGGTAAATTAAGGGAGCACTACCTCAACCTACATGCTTCACTCACAAAGCTTCAACATACAAGCTTCAACAAAAGGAAAAATTCAAAGAGCTTAGTGAAAAAGGCCTTGGTGTATTTAACACAATACGTTGAAATGAAGCAAAGCTTGTATATTGATATCTCCGATAAGTTACAAATATATACATATACATGAATCAAAATAAACAAACAAGAGGGAGCTTTCACAAAGGTTGCTCAGGAGAAGTCTCAGAAGTCATCAGAGCTCCAGAAAGAAGAGGCACCAGAGGGTGCTTATTCGGAGCCTTAGTACTAGGCAGAACCTCACAAGGAGGAGGCACCGAAGGTTGATCATTTGCAGCTTCATTACGCGGTACAGCCCCAGAAGACGAAGGCAATAAATGCCTTTGGAACAAACCCACAAACCTCTGATGATCAAGTAAAATTTGACCATCAGATTCCTGCAGCTGGTCGAGCTTCCTCTTCATGTTTGTAGCATAGTCATGTGCGAGCCTGTGCAACTGTTTATTCTCATGCTTGATCCCTCTGATCTCCTATTTGAGACTTATCACTTCAGTCGCCAATGATTCAACTTGGCGGGTTCGAGCAAATAGGCGTTAGGCCATATTAGACATAGAACCTACACACTGAACACTAAGAGTCAGAGAATCCTTAATAGCCTCAGACCGTTCGGAAAGTAGTATGTTATCTTTGAGAGTGAGAAGGTTCCTGGCCACCACCGTAGCGGTCATATCATTATTCATCACAGAGTCCCCAATAGTAAGAGGACCAGTAGGGGATAAGAAGGATGGGCGCTATATGTTGTCTTGAGAAGGCATGGCTGCCTCTTCACGAAAGGTCAAGTCAAAACGACGATAGGATGGGCCAGACATTCTCAGAAAGGCTAAATTGGATTGTTCATCCCCGTGGTCATAGGACACTTGCATGATGACCCCCCGTGGTGAAAAAACTAGGAATTAAACCCCTGTGGTCTAGAATGTTAGCAAATTTAGTCCAAAAGTAAGATTTCTGTTAAAGGACTATTAAAAGTTGGGGTAAAACTGTATTTTCAGTTCCAATTGACATTGAATTAGGGCTTTTTTTTATTTAAAAAATTAAGCATTATTTTTTTTGTTAATTGTTATAAAAAAAATTATTTATTTTAAATGTCAATTGGAACTGAAAATACAGTTTTACCCATACTTTTAACAATCATTTAACAGAAATCTTACTTTTGGACTAAATTTGCTAATATTCTTGACCACAGGGGTTTAATTCCTAGTTTTTTCACCACGGGGGTCATCATGCAAGTTTCCTATGACCACGGGGATGAATAATCCAATTTGGCCTCTCAGAAATGATGAAGGAGAAATGAGGTGCAATAAATCTCTGAAGTAAGAGGAAAATTCCTACAAGCAATAACTCTATGAATGTACTTCTTGCACACAATTGGTGCCCTTATAAAAGAAAGGGCAATAGGGCCGCTGGTTCAAAAATCGAAGAGGCACCACTCTCCGGAATTCGAAGAGGCACCACTTTCCACACGCAACATCAGCTCATCGGGTACCATAGATAACTTTTCCAAAGATCTCTGACAAAGTTTAGACACATAAATTTTGAAGGTTCAGCTACCATACTATTACCCACAAGGGTAAAGGAACAGCACCACTACTTGATAACTAGAAAGTCCCAATGTGTGTCAACCTGTGCTCTGTGGCAAAGTAGACTGGCAAAAATGTCCAACCTTTACTCACATTCGAGAAAACACTCCCAACAAGATTGCTTGCTCAAAAATCGAAGAGGCACTGCTCTCCGAATCTCGAGAGCCAGACTCCCAACAGGATTACGTGCTCAAAAATCAAAGAGGCACTGCCCTCCGAATCTCGAGAGCTAAACTCCCAACATGATTACTTTCTCAAAAATCGAAGAGACACTGCTCTCCGATTCTCAAGAGTCAGACTCCCAACAGGATTGCTTTCTCAAAAATCGAAGAGGCACCACTCTCCGAATCTCGAGAGCCAGACTCTCAACAAGATTACGTGCTCAAAAATCGAAGAGGCTCCGCCCTCCGAATCTCGAGAGCCAGACTCCCAACAGGATTACTTTCTCAAAAATCGAAGAAACACTACTCTCTGAATCTCAAGAGTCAGACTCCCAACAAGATTGCTTTCTCAAAAATTGAAGAGGCACCGTTCTCTGAATCTCGAGAGCCAGATTCCCAACAAGATTGCTTGTTCAAAAACCGAAGAGGCACCACTCTCGAACTTCGAGAGCCTGATTTCCTTGGATAAAGCTTGTTTGTAATCTTTACACGCAACATCAGCTTTCCAGATACCACAGACCATTTTTTCAAAATGCTCTGACAAAGTTAAAACATGTGAAGCTTGCAGCTCCCATTACATTGTTATGACCAAGAAGGGTAAAGGAATAGCACTACTACTTGTTGTTAGGGAGACTCCTATATATGTCGACCTCTATCCTCCATAGCCAAGCAAACCTGCAAAAAAATGCTCAACTTTTCTTCACATCCGAGAGGGCACTCTCAGCAGAGTCTATCAAAATACTCAGTTTCTTTTCCTCCCGATAATACCTTTGCAAACAAGCCACACCAAAGTAAGAGCATCTCATATCATCAGGGTTAAAAGCAAGAGTATCCCATATCATGCTTTTTCCCTGTCTTTTCCTTTGACCTTGTTCTTACCTACAAGACAATGAGAAAGAGAGCAATCAGTCAGCACTTGGAATCAAGCTTCTAGTCAGGAACTGACTGCCTGGAACCCCATGCCTGATTACTTACCTGGCATTGCTCTTAATTACTCATCTTCAACATCTTATGCTTCCAGAGAAGCATGTGGAGACAAGCGTAACAAAACACATGCCGATACATCCACTACTTTGTCAACAGCAAAAGTATCTCATATCATCAGGGTCGAACGTACTCTAGATTTGATGGACTTGTTTTGACCCTCAAATTCTTGAGTCGGCCTTATACTCCGGAGGAAACTAGAAAACCATCCAGCCCAATTCAAGAATAAGCCTGTGGAAAGTTACTTCTTCAAAAGAAAAAGTATCTCATATCATCTCTTCTCCATTTGCTTCTCCTTATCTTTGTTGCTGTTTACGATATAAGGAGAAGGAGAACAATCAACCGGAAGCCGAAGTCGAACCTCTGATCCAGGTTGCTTGCTTGGAAGTCTGATTACTTACCTTGTCTGTTACCTCCTTCGGTAAATCTCCTAGCTCGGCGACTTGGGGGACTCCTACTATAGGGTTTATATCGCACTTGACCAAGCCCGAAACTACAAGCTTCAAGTGAAATTGATACATTACCTTGTGCATCTTCATCAGTTAAAGATACCATCCCTGGATGGAGGAAAAGTACTTCCAGAGAAGATGCCACATCTACATATGAGACAGATAAGGCAAGTTAAAATGATATCACACTTCGGTACTTAGAAGTTTCGTGATTACTCAAGGGCTTGGATCTTGCAAGACCCCAACCGAGGAGCTTCCTTCACTCGGGAACTTAGGGGAGCACTGTTTGTACCATACTTGACCAATCTTGAAATTACTGAGCACCGGTCAACGTTATACCTTCAAGGACCCATAAGAGTTTCCCTCCAACCAGGAGGCCAATCACAGCGCGACATGTGTCGACATCAGAAGCCAATCATAGCGCGACACGTGTCAACATCAGAAGCCAATCACAACACGACACATTTCAATGTCATAATGAAACTAGAAACTCTCTTCTATAAATAGAGATCATTCTTTCACAATATTGCCTAATGTCATTTGTACTAAATCATTCACTAGTACTCACTAAAGGAGAGCTTGAACCTATGTACTTGTGTAAGCCCTTCACAATTAATGAGAACTCCTCTACTCCGTGGACGTAGCCAATTTGGGTGAACCACGTACATCTTGTGTTTGCTTCCCTGTCTCTATCCATTTACATACTTATCCACACTAGTGACCAGAGCAATCTAGCGAACGTTACAAACTTAATATTTTCTGTTGTACCAAAGTCCTCACTGATTTTGTGCATCAACAAATATCATAGACGTATTGCATGTTAGATATACGTTCTTACTTGAATATCACGAGGAGAATATGTATTAGGAAAACTAACCTTCAAAGTTGCATATGTAGATCATAAGTAATTGATAAAGATACATAGGATTGTTATGGTGATGGTTGAACCCTAGTACTTTTATAAATTGGTATTTAAAAACTCTCTTCCTTCAACTTCTTAATTTTGCCTGAATTTATTATTTGGTTTTTAATTAAAATTCGTTTTTAATATTACCCAAATTCCGCATCATCTTTCTCAATTTCCAGTTTAAGTAAGTAATTAGGAATTGGTTTTACATAAATTATTTGAATAGTCCTTGTAGAATGACCTTGCATAAGCATATATACTACAACAACCTTGTATTCTTGCAGGTATTTTGTGTGATTTTAACCTTCTTTACGTAGGTACTAAAAATCCTATCAAGAGGTTTACGTGAAGCAACCTCAAGGTTTTGTGGATTCTAAGCATCCTGATAATGTGTGCAAATTGGTTAAATCTCCTTATGGTTTGAAATAGGCACCTAGGGCCTAGAATCCTAAGTTTACATGATATCTTCCAGTAATGGGGTTTACAGTGTCGCAATGTGATACAAGTTTGTTTTTCAAACATGATGGAACAAATGTTATTACATTATTGTTGTATGTTGATGATATTATATTTACAGGATCTAATGAAACTAAATTTCAGGTTGTTATTCAAGATTTGGGAGATGTCTTTGATCTTAAAGATATAGGAAGATTATCTTGTTTTTTTTGGATTGCAGATTCAGTACAGGCATAATGGTGATATTTTCTTGAATCAATCCAAGTATGCCAAAGATTTGATCCATAAAGCTAGTATGGATAGTTGTAAACCTGCATCCACATCATGTAAGCCACACACTCAGCTCTTTGTAACTGAAGGAACTCCTCTAGGTGATCCTACTATGTATAGAAATCGTGTTGGTGCCTTACAGTACCTCACATTCATCAGACCGGATCTTTCTTATGCTGGGAACATGGCTTGTCAGTATATGAATCAACCTACTGATGTACACTATGGTCTTATGAAAAGAATCCTCATATATGTTCAAGGTACTGTCACTTGTGGTATTACTTGTTCTACAAGTCATGACAACTATATTACTACATTCTTTGATTCGGATTGGGCAGTTGATCCTAATACTAGAAGGTGTATTACTGGTTTTGTGATGTATGTGCGACACAATCCCATCTCTTGGCAATCCAAGAAACATTCATCAGTTTCTAGAAGCTCCACTGAGGCAAAATATAAGGCCTTGGCACATTGTGCAGCTGATGTAGTATGGATTAGATTGCTGCTCAAAGATCTTCATCAATTTTTGTCAGCACCACCATTGCTACATTGTGATAATCTCTCTACATTAGCCTTATGTTCTAATCTTGTGTTTCATACTCAGATTAAACATTTATTGTGCAAAGAGAAGTATGCAATTGAGCCATGTGGATATAATGAAGCCTAGCAACTTGCTATTGTTGATCACGAACAACCCCTTTGGGGCTACTATAATAATGTGTGCATCATGAATATTTATTGTTTTTTATTTATCTTTCACTTACGAAAATCAACCCAACACCGAAAGAAGACTTTCAAGAAACTAAAGGATTCTAGAACGGTGGTGGCAGCCAAATAAACCAAATGACGGCTGCCAATTATTCAAACGGTGCTCCAACTGGACAGTAAATAAGAAACAACGCCATGACATAACCATATCAAACAACAAAAACAGGCTACACAACCTTATGTTTTGATAGGAAAGAAATACAATGAAACGAGAAGAGGTAAAGAAAGGTAAATAAGGAGAGGAAATTGGATTGTAGCCTTAGACCTAGATAAATCAAACGCCACAATATGCCTTGACGGTATAGTCAGGTCCAAGGCTGGAGGCATTTTTCTTTACATATTGAGTATATTCCCAGTTATTCAATGGCTTATACTGTAGGGGGTGGTCCTCGTCTATAAACTCCTTCGGTGTATGTGTTTCCCCTACCCTGAATGAAAATAGTCCGATTGAGTGTCGTACAACATTCTCGCTCAAGATCACTCGATGTTTACAAGCTCGTATTTTGTCGTTACTCCAAACCTGAGTCAAGCAAAACCACGCAAACATTCCCGCTAAGAAATATATTATTATACATTTTCCAAAACAAAATATTGATAATTTGATTACAAAATATATCATTTCAAATGTTTTGCACCTTTAGAAATTAACAATAGTTATGATAATTTGATTACGTACGTATCACATAATTGTGTTTGCGGCATACCTGAAATCCATCACCTGCTAGAAATATGAAGGACGAAGGCAGAGGATCAATGCATATCCACTCATCGTTCTTTGAATATATTTCCAGACCTTTGACATGATTTTGATAGAGTATGGTGCTAAAGTTTGAGTCTGTATGACCGGGGAGACCCAAATTAGTTCCAGTTTTCTCAGGCTCACTGTATTTGTTAAATCGGCACATGTGAGTAGTCGATTCAAGGTGATCATCAAGGTACTCCTCTACACCATAGTTTTCAAACACCATTCTCGTGACAGCATGATGTAGTTCTTCCATTACTTTTGTATACAAATCAGCAGTCTCACTGCCCAACAAAGAACAAATTAACTGTGTAAATGTACGTAAAAAAATTTAGCATTTCAATGTTTATGGTAGCATTAAGTTGAGTAAATCATACCGAAATACATTATGTCCATTGGGCCAAAAATGATGTTCGAATATTTGAGTTTGTTCCGGGTCTGTAGCACCAGCAATCCCCAAGCTTTCATAAGCGGCGTTGCCAACTTTTATGTAGCCAGTGGGGTAAGGATTTTCATAAAAACTTTTCACTTTTTTTTCAGTTGGGAAATCAAACAACTCGGCCAACGTATCGAAGAAGGTACTGCGAAGCTCCAAAGAAATTTTGTCGGGTAATATTGCCACAAAACAGCCAAGCTCGTCGAGTGCATGGCAAATGTCTTCGCGTATTGAGAGCCAAGAACTTGTCCCAGGCTTAAAGCAGTCTTCATTGGAGAAATCTACTATTGCTAGTTTGGCCATTGTTTGAGTATACTATATGTGAAGAGGTTTTGAGGGTTCTAGGTTAAAATGCTAGATGTATGTTCCTAACCAACCAAAGTGACATTTATAGAGAAGCATGCAAGTTATGTATTTTATGATTTCTTTAATAGATTATACTTATTTTTTTAATTTTTTAATACCCTCTTGTTGAATTATTGTTTAAAGGATTTAAATTTAATTACTGAATTATATTTTGTAGTTAAAAAATATTAAAAAAAATGAAGCCCACCATAAACGACCCACTACCTGGGTTTTATTTTTTTAGGGTAGTGCAATCTACACACTTTTTTTTTATCAATAGGAATTCCATTAATAAAGCAACATGGAGAAGAAAATACAAAAAGACTCCTTAGAAAGGGAGAAGATAAGCACCCATTTTTACTTGTCACATATCTTCTGTTAATTTCTTATCTTTGATCTTCTTCAATTCATTCAATCCAACGGCCAAAATTGAGAGAGGTATGTTAAAAGTAAAAAATGGTGTATGGATAACGCACTCCTCTAGAGATTACAAAGTATTACTAGTTAGTTTAGAATGTAAAACATTTGAACCCTATAATGTAGTAGATTGAAAAAGAATGCTCCATCCAGTAGGCAATCCACTACTTTAGTATGTACACCTGATTTGCGTGTCTTATTATTGTAATAATCTACTCTCCCTTGGGCCTGTAAAGAAGATTTAAATCATAGAAAATACGAATCAGGCTTACATGCCATGTTGTGAACAGTTGTGAAGTCTTGTCCTCTATTATTTGGAGTTTGCATTCATGATTAGATTTCTTACTTAGATGCGGTAATGGAAGCACAAGACAATCACAACCAACAAAAATCTGAATAATTTCTTGTAATTAGTGGTTGAGTGATATACGTCGTGCTCCGACTGAATGCAATAATAAAGTTAAGTCGACGTAATTTACTTGATATTAGAACACTAGATGCAAAGTTGGATTACTGTAATTTAGTGATATACGACTTCATAAATCGCATTCCTTGTAGCCTGTAGGACAGAGCTAACATAACTAAAAGTATCTTTAGGGTAGTCTGACAAAGAGCAAGTCCGTTAGCATAAGGGATGGAGGTTCGGTTTTGGCAAGATAATTGGATCCCGGGAATAACGGGGGGGGCACCCTACTCCTCTTAATCCTTCGGTCATCAATAGGGAGTGCAAAGTTGCAGAGTTCATTGATCCGAGTTCGAGGACTTGGAACTTGGACCTTCTCTCAAACTTTATCTCGGATTCAGAGAGCGATACCATCTCTAAAATCTATGTGGGGCTACTTTTAAGTCCTGATAAGCTTGTCTGGCCTTATGAGAGAAATGGTTCTTTTTCAGTGAAGTCCGGATATTGGAGAAATCACAGTAGACACCCATGCATAAACCTTGATCGCCCGTCCTCCTCACGCAGTGTTCATCCTCGGATTTGGGTTTGGCTATGGAGTTGTAAGGCTCCCCTTAAGATGAAGAACTTTCTTTGGCGAGCTCTTAAGGAGGCTTGTGCTACTAACTCCAATTTGTTTCGACGTAGGTGTGCCACTTCCCCCCTTTGCCCAGTTTGTAATGAATGTGTGGAGACCATGGAGCATATTCTCCTTCTGTGTCCTTGGGTGTCTAGAGTATGGTTTGGGGGTCCGTTGAATGTTCAGATCAATCAAAGCTCAATTACTACTTTGGCTGAGTGGGTGTATGGGGCGATAAATCAAAATATGGGTTGTCAGGAGGATCTCGCTCAGTCTATGAGGTACCTGAATTTTACATGTTGATTTATTTAGAGAGCCCGATGTGATGCTGTTTTCAACGGTGTTAAGCCCTCACCTCTTCGATCTATTCGAACTATCATTACTGCTTTGGAGTCTTTTATGCAAGCCTCCGCCCCTCTACTGTTATCATCCACAATCCAAACTAGTCTTCCTTGAGGTACGCGCCTGTTGATGCGTGTTGGAGGAGGGACTCCTGTTGTGGTAAGATTGGGACTGTGGCCCGTGATTGGTTGTTGGGTTGCAGGGCGGTTAAAAGTGTATGGATGCATGCATCTTCGGTTAGGATGGCTGAAGCTTTTGCTATTCTGGAAGGGTGCTTGTTGGCTAAGTGTTTCCAAGTGCAAGAGGTGGTAATTGAGTTGGACGCACAAGGGGTTATTTGGTCCCTCAATTCCCCTTCTTTGAGCTGTGATTGGGACCTTCTCCCAATTCTTAGCCGTATCTTGGATGTTGGGAGGAGTTTTCATTCATGCTCCTGGTCGTGGATTCCACGATCGGCAAATATGGCGGCGGATTTTGTCGCAAGGAATATTTCATCGAAGATGTGAAGCTTTGGCTGGGTTGTTTAACCTCCATCTTCGCTAGTTGGCATTTTGAACAAAGATGGTCTTCCCTGTCCTCCTTTGTAATTGGGGATGGGTTGCACTGGTAATAGGGCGACACTAGTACCTGTTGAGGTGGTGTCTTTCTTGATCCTATTTATCTGTGTCTGTATCTTCTGGGGTTGCGGAGGTTGTTTCTCTGCGTGTTGTTTGCCCTTGTGCCTCTCTGTTCTTTGAATCTATCCTTTTACCAAAAAAAAAAAAAAAGATTTATGCATGAATATAGAGAGGTAATTGCTACTTTCCTTCAAGTTTTATGTTAAATTTTTGGCCGAGTTTGATAGAAATTGGGTAGTTCATAGGATCGAAAACAAAGGTCGCTTAGATTATCGATCACAATATGGTGTGAATGATATGAACAGAGAGTGAGTATGGAATTGAATGAATCTAATAGAAAAGGATTTGACAAATATATAGAGATGGAAATAACTTTTCTAGAGGAATTGTATTCTTCATGAGAAGTTATAACTTTTCATGTTGAAATACAATTGTTCGTATCTTTTTAGAATTAATTAATTAATTATATTATTTCTTTTATTAATTAATTAACTTATTTCACTACAATCATATGTATATTAGTACACTAATGTTATGGTGTACCTTTACACATGATTACACTTATTATGAAAACCATGTTATCATAATCATATTCCAACATCTCCCACTTGATTATGATGATATAAATAGTTTCCTATTCTGATTTGTTTCTCAAGATATTACTCATAAAGAAATTCAATGTAACATCAGATATGTGACTTCTTTACCTGGTGCGCATCATTCCACTTTATTTGATAACATTTTACTCTTTAGTAAAATGGCATCATACCCAAGTAACGAGGAAAAACAATCCATACCCAATTACAAATGATGACTTAGTCACGCACTATACGCCACAGTGTTATATAAATTATTTCTTGAAGCTTATTACGGATTTTACTTTCAGGACAATTTATTATAACATGGTTACCTCATTAGTGACCTCTATCTCTAACCGACCAAGTACTAAAGAACCAGATAGAGTCGCATATACTTGTCCATGTTTCAGGCATCCCTAAAACCATACAACGATGTCCGCCGCATGTCTCACACTACAACACATCTAGATGTTTTGCAAACCCATTGTAGTCACATGCTCTCTGATTTTTTTTCCAGTGACAATCCCTTGGTCATTGGATTGGCCACCATCTCTTCGGAGAGTATGTAGTCGACCTTTACCTCTCCTCTCTCCACTATATCTTGTATATAGTGATATTCAATATCAATGTGTTTTCCTTTGGAACTATTTGCTCCACTCTTTATCAGAAAGATGGCGGACTTATTATCACAAAACACATTGACGGGCTCCTTAGGTATACCTATATGTAAATTATCGAAAAATTGTGTAGCCCATACTGCAGTACTTACTGTTGTGCTACAAGATATATATTTTGCTTCCATGGTTGATTTTGCAACACATCCTTGTTTCTTACTTAACCAAGAATCAATCATTCCACCAAACAAGACAATGTCACCACTTGTTGACTTTCTGTCATCGAAGTCGCCTGCAAAATCTACATCGCAATAACAAACTAAATCCAGATCATTTAATCCGAAACAAAGTTTCATACCTTGGATGCCTTTTAGATATCTAATAATTCTCTTTACTATCATCCAATGTTGCTTTCCAGGGTTGGATTGATATCTACTTACCAATCCAACTGCATGATATATATCAGGTCTTGTGTTGGTCATAGCATACATCAAACTTCCAACTACTTAGGCATATGGAATATTTTGCATATCAATGATGTCTTGCTTCTGTACCAGACACATATTTTTGGAAAGCATCATTCCTTTACAAATAGGTGTACTAACTAGGTATATTAAATCTTTTAAATATTTTATCCAAATAATTTTGTTGATCCAAATAGAGCGTTTTGGCATCTCTATCCCTAGTAATTTTAATTCCTAGAACATAAGATGCTTCTCCCATATCTTTCATTTCAAATTTGGATCCCAAATATGACTTAGTTTTTTCAATCATATCTATAGAGTTACCTGCAAGTAAGATGTTATCTACATATAGTGATAACATACAAAAATTATCTTGGCACTTCCAAGAGTAAACACAATGATCCAATGAATTTATTTTATAGCCCATTTCCATAATAGCTTGGTGAAACTTTAAATACCATTGTCTTGATGATTGACAATGATCATTCAGCCAAAATTGAGCAAGGGAAAGAAGCCGGCTGCTGTCCTTTGGCAAGTAAGTGGAAATTCGGGTGCACAAAACCATTTAATGATTGATAGATTCAAGAGAAATGATTTTCACACACTATTTGAACGAATGAAAAAATCGAAAGAGGAAGTTGATTTTCACTCACCATTGGGCGAATGACATTGGACAACATTAAACAAGGGGTGTGTAAGAGAATATACCACAAAGTGAATGGAGGAGTATGTCCTTATAACCTCTCACTCTCGAGCACTGCAGCGAAAAGAGGGGAAGCTTTTGGGAACACAAGGGCTGAGTGTAGAATAGTAACAAAACTAAAGAAAAAAGAATACAAAAAGTGCTGTTGCCCGGAATCATCAAACCCGGGTCTCCTGGGTGAAGACCGTATATCCTAGCCGCTGGATGACAATGGATCCTCATGCCTAACATCTGCGTTTAAATTGTCTTAATTTTGTTCTTGTAGTTTACTCAACGTAGCAATTCAATAACAAGTCTCATTTTCAGTGAAGAAATTTTGTAACATGGGTGTTATGGTTATGATGAGGATGAAAGAATGCTTCAAAATGTGTAGTATATACACTATCTTTCAGACTTTATTTGCTCTTACATCTAGTGTGCAAAACAAAGTATTCGAATGAGCCATGCCGATAAAATGAAGCCTTCTAACAACTTGCTATTGTTGGTCACGAAGAATCCTCTTAGGGGGTTAATACAATAATGCGTGCATCACAAATATTTATGATTTTTTTTATTTATCTTGCACTTACGAAAATCAACCCAACACCGAAAGAAGACCTTCGAGAAACTCAATTATTCAAACGGTGCTGCAACTTGACAGCAAATAAGGGACAATGCCACGACATAAACATATACCAAACAACAACACAGGTGGCTCCACAGCATTATGTTTGACAGGAAAGAAATACAAAGAAACGAGAAGAGGTAAAGAAAGGTAAATAAGGAAAGGAACTGGCTTGTAGCCTTAGACCAAGACAAATCAAACGCCACAATATGCCTTGACGGTATAGTCAGGTCCAAGGCTGGAGTAATTTTTCTTTGTATATTCAATATATTCCAAGTCATTCAATGGATTATACTGTAGGGGGTGGTCCTCGTCTATAAGCTCCTTCGGTGTATGTGTTTCCCCTGCCCTGAATGAAAATAGTCCGAGCGAGTACCGTACATCATTCTCGCTCAAGGTCACTTGATGTTTACAAGCTCGTATTCTATCGTTGCTCCAAACCTGAGTCAAGCAAAACCACACAAACATTCCTGCCAAGAAATGTATTATTTTACATTATCCAATACAAAATAATGATAATGTGATCACAAAATATGTCATTTCAAATGTTTTGCACCATTAGAAATTAACAATAGTCATGATAATTTGATTACGCACGTACATATCACATACTTCTGTTTGTGGCATACCTGAAGTCCATCACCCGCTAGAAATACGAAGGACGAAAGCAGAGGATCAAAACATATCCACTCATCGTCCTTTGAATATATTTCCAGACCTTTGACATGATTTTGACAAAGTATGGTGCTAAAGTCTCTGTCTCTATGACTGCGGAGACCCGCATCAGCAATAGCCAAGCTTTCATAACCGGTGTTCCCAACGTTTAGGTAGCCAGTGGGGTAAGGCTTTTCATAAGAGTTTTTCACTTTGATTTCTGTTGGGAAATCAAACAACTCGTCCAACATACGGAAGAAGGTACTGCAAAGCTCCGAAGAAATTTTGTTGGGTAATATTGCCACGAAACAGCCAAGCTCCTCGAGTGCATGGCAAATGTCTTTGCGTATTGAGAGCCAAGAACTTGTCCCAGGCTTGAAGCAGTCTTCATTGGAGAAATCTACTATTGCTAGTTTGGCCATTGTTTGAGTATGTTGTGTATGAAGAGGTTTTGAGGGTTCTAGGTCAAAGTGCTAGCTATGTATGTTAAGGGTAATTAAGTAAAGTTTGTTTTACTTTACTTAGCTAGTAAGATAAGTAGTGAGGATATATGTAAATGATGGTATATATATACCAAGTATAATATTATTGAGAAATACAATTTCACAATTTTATTTCTTCTCTCTCTCTCTAAACTCTCACATGGTATCACTCGCCGGTGTCTAACGACCTCCGACGATCCTTCGTCTCTCTGCGTTCTCTGTGTTCTCTCCTTTTGCTTCTTGTCGCTACTAACAATGGCGGTATCGTCTCCCTCTGATTCTACCTCGCAGCCATCTCCTGCAGATTCTTCGGCCCCAAATTCGTGCCCTAATTCGGTCAGTTCTTCGATTACTATTCAGAATATTGGTTCGCTGGTTCCGATTAAACTCACAACTACAAATTGGATCACCTGGAGTGCTTTATTTGCACCAATTTTTCGTCGGTACAATCTCACCGGCCTCATTGATGGATCTCTGGTGGCGCCGCCTATGTATCTTCTGGATTCTTCAGGACATCGCACTTCGACTGTGAATCCTCAATATATCACCTGGTTTGAGAATGATCAAAACATTCTGATCTGGATCAATTCGACACTCTCGGATTCTCTGATTCCCTACACTGTTGGTGTTACCTCTGCTCGAGATCTGTGGGCAAAACTGGAATCTCGTCTTGCTACAGCGTCGCAATCACATATTCATGAACTGCGCTCTCGTCTTCGCACGATTACCAAAGGTGATTCCACTGCGGCTGCTTATCTTCAACAAATTGAAGAAATTGCGGATGCTCTTGCGACTGCTGGTGCTCCGATTGCTGATTCGGAACTCATCTCTGTCCTTCTCATGGCTTACCGCCTGAATATGATGCTTTTGTTGACACTATTCAATTTCGTCTTGGTTCCACTACTGTTGATGAGTTACATGGCTTATTGCTTAGTAAGGAGATTCAATTGGCAAATCGCAAGAAGGTTTCTTCCTCAGTGCCATTTCAAGCATATCATTCCTCTGCTGGCATTCTCCCTACACCACATGCTGATTCTCCTTCTCAGGCGTACTTTGTTTCTTCTCATGGCCGTGGCTTCGATCGGAATTTTTCTCATCCTAGAAATTTTCAGAATTTCTCTCGCCAAGGTCAGAATTTCAGTCGCCAAGGTCCGAATTTCTCTCGCCAAGGTCAGCATTTCTCTCGCCAAGGTCAACAGAAGAATAATCGTGGATCCAAACCAAATTTCCACAATTTCAACCGAAGAACTTCCTGTCAAATTTGCCGTCAATCTAATCATGAGGCTATTGATTGTCCGCATCGTCTGAATCCTAACTATGGTACCAAGCATTCACAAACTGCATATCATGCGAATACTGCTTCCAATGCTTTCACTCCTTCCACTGCTTCCAATGCTCCCACATGGCTTCTTGATACCGGTGCCAGTTCTCATATGACCAACTCGTATACAAATCTTCAAAGTCCTGAACCCTACAGTGGTCCTGATCAAGTTTATATTGGCGATGGCAAAGGTTTGCCTATCACTCATTCTGGTTCTTCTTGTCTTCCTACCTCTACTCATACTTTTGATTTGCACAATGTGTTGCATGTTCCTGATCTGAAACAAGATTTGATTTCTGCCAATCGATTTATTGTTGATAACTGGTGCTCCATTCATCTATATCCTTTTCACTTCCTTGTGAAGGATCTTACTTCGGGGAAGGAGCTTTTTAAGGGTCCTGTCAAAGCTGGCTTCTATCCTTTTCTTGCACCTCCTGTTGCAGACAATCATCAACCTTATGTGACCAGTACTACAGCTTCTCAGGGCATTTGGCATCAACGCTTAGGCCATCCATCATTCAAGATTTTACATAAACTAGGTTCTCAGTCTCGTATCTCTTGTTCAGATCACATTCATAAATTTGTATGCTCTAGTTGTGCTTTAGGCAAATGTTCTCGCAAACCATTTACCTCTGTTTCTTGTACAACAACCAAGCCTCTTGAGCTGTTGCATACTGATGTATGGGGTCCTGCGCCCGTTCCTTCTGTTAATGGATTTCGATATTATCTTCTATTGGTTGATGACTTTTCCAAGTATTCATGGTTCTTTCCACTGAAATATAAATCTGAGGTTTTCAGTACCTTTGTTCACTTCAAATCTATGGTTGAAAATCTCTTGGGTTTCAAGGTTATTACTCTGCGATCTGATTCTGGTGGAGAGTTTGTTAATCATCAATTTTCTGATTTCTTGAAGACACATGGGATCTCTCATCAACTGAGCTGCCTTCATACTCCAGAACAAAACGGGTGTGCTGAAAGAAAGCACCGGCATTTAGTCGAAACTGCTCGGACTCTTCTTACAGCATCTCAAGTACCTCATTCTTATTGGGTTGAATCCTTCTCCACGGCTCTTTATCTCATCAATCGCATGCCTACTGGTAGTAAACTCTCTCCTTGGGAAATCTTGTTTCATAAACCCCCAGATTACACAACTTTGAAAGTTTTCGGTTGTAGGTGTTATCCTTGGCTCCAACCTTACACTTCCTCTAAACTTGATCCGAGAAGCAAAGCTTGTGTCTTTTTAGGCTATAGCCTTAATCATAAAGGTTATCGTTGTTTGGATGCTCAAACTGGGCGACTTTATATTTCTCGCCATGTTATCTTTGATGAAACCACATTTCCTTTTCATTCTTCTTCACCTCCTGTCCGTCCTTCCTCTCCAGTTCCATCTATTTTAAATTCCCCCTCCATCCCAACCTCATTAACATTTATTCATTCCTCTCCTATCTCGTTACCTATCTCTGATTCCATTCCCTTATCTCCTTCTTCTTCTACAGCTTCCTTACCACCCTCTTCTCTACTTAATATTCATCCTATGACCACTAGATCAAAATCTGGTATTTTTAAACCGAAGGCTCTTCTAGCAACTAAGCATCCTCTTCCCTCCTCTTTATCTCTTGATTACACACCTTCCACCTACCTTCAAGCCTCTAAACACCTGCCCTGGCGACAAGCTATGCAGGAAGAGTTCAATGCGCTTCTTCAAACTGGTACCTGGTCTTTGGTTCCTCCTACTTCCTCTCAGAATTTAGTAGGTTGTAAATGGGTTTTTCGTATTAAACGGAAACCTGATGGCTCAGTGGACAGATACAAAGCCCGTCTGGTTGCCAAGGGATTTCATCAGCAACAGGGCTTAGATTACAATGAGACATTCAGTCCGGTTGCCAAACCAGTCACTATCCGCATTCTCTTAACCCTTGCAGCTAAATTTGATTGGTCTATCAACCAGTTGGATGTGAGTAATGCTTTTCTGCATGGCACCCTCACTGAGTTTGTTTTTATGGTTCAACCTCCAGGGTTTGAAGATCCTACTCAACCCCATCATGTCTGTCAATTGCATAAGTCCCTGTACGGTCTCAAACAGGCTCCCCGAGCCTGGTATGCCAAGTTAACAACTGCATTACAGTCTCTTGGTTTCTCTGGATCCAACAATGATCACTCTTTATTTGTTAAGAACAGTGATTCCGTGGTCTATGTCTTGGTTTATGTGGATGATATCCTTGTCATTGGCCCTGATTCTGCAGCTTGTCAATCTGTGATTTCTCAACTCTGTGCATTATTTCCTGTTAAGGATTTGGGACTCCTGCATTATTTTCTTGGTATTGAAGTCAAGCGATCTTCTCAGGGCATCTTCATCAATCAGCCTAAATATATTCTGGATCTTCTCAAGAAGGCACACATGGATGGTGCTAAACCTTGTGTTACTCCTCTGAGTACTTCTAAATTGGATCATTCTTCTCCCTTACTGTCCAATCCCGAAGACTACAGATCCTTAGTTGGCGGCCTTCAATACTTAACCTGGACCCGACCCGATTTGTCCTTTGCAGTCAATCTCGTATGTCAGTTCATGCACACTCCTCGGGAATCACATCTTCAGGTTGTCAAGCATATTCTCAGATACTTGAAGGGCACGATTACTCTTGGTCTTTAGTTTCCCAAATGCTCTGCACCCCTCAGTATTAATAGTTTCTCAGATGCTGATTGGGCTGGTTGCCCTATTGATCGGCGTTCCACAGGTGGTTTTTGTATTTTTCTGGGTGATTCTCTTATTAGTTGAAGTGCCAAGAAGCAACCCACTGTTGCTCGATCCTCAACTGAAGCGGAATATCGTTCTTTAGCTAATACTGCTGCTGAGTTAACTTGGATCTGCAAGCTGTTAGTTGATATTGGTCTCCTGCTTCCGTGCCCTCCTAAACTTTGGTGTGATAACATCTCTGCTCTTTCTCTTGCTAAGAATCCTCTGTTTCATGCTCGAACCAAGCATGTGGAGATTGATTATCACTTTATTCGTGAGAAAGTTTTGGCCCACTCCATCACTGTGCATTTTGTCTGTACACAGGATCAAACTGCCGACATATGTACTAAGGCTTTATCCAAGGATCGGTTTCTTTTTCTCCGTGACAAACTCTCACTTCGGCTACCTCAGCTTAGTTTGAGGGGGGATGTTAAGGGTAATTAAGTAAAATTTGTTTTACTTTACTTAGCTAGTAAGATAAGTAGTGAGGATATATGTAAATGATGGTATATATATACCAAGTGTAATATTATTGAGAAATACAATTTCACAATTTTATTTCTTCTCTCTCTCTCTCTAAACTCTCACAGTGTATACCTAACCAAAATGACATTTATAGAGAAGCATGCATGTCATGTATTTACTTATTTCTTTAATAGATTATACCTATTTTTAATTTTTTAATTACAAGTGATTACTACTTGGTTTATGATGTGAAGGATTTGAACTCGGCTAATAACGCAGTAGGTTGAAGATGAATGCTCTATTTAGTAGGCAATCCACTACTTTTCTATGTACACCTGATTTGCGTGGCTTATTATCATAATAATCTGTCTCCCTCTTGGGCTTGTAAACCAAGATTCAAATCATAGAAAATATGAACCATGTGATTCATTCCATATGTTGTCAAGTCTTGTCCTCTTTTATT